TTACTAAGTGCAGTTGGCATATTTTTTTAGTTACTGTATTTTTAATTGAAAATATATATTACTAGCTGTTGCCCGCTCTTATATTGACATGCAGCCGATGCTACTGAACATATAACCTTGAAATAGGTAGGTAGGTTTTTTGTATAGCGTAAGCATCAAGAAAGGAAACCAGGAATTTACACATCCAAGAAGGAAAAATATAGGTTCAAAGATTGTATTGAATTTCGTCAGTTTTGAAGTTGGAAACCTGAAATTTTGAGTTGATAAAAAAATATTGTAACTATTTATTTAAAATGGTCTGTCACGGAACTCAATGCGACAAACCAAATTCTACGCGGTCGAATCCGCGGACAACAAATAGTGATTTATACTGTACTAAAAATTCCATTGTCCAGAATAAGTTATCAATCTGAATGAAACCTTTGATCACTGAAATTTATAAGAAAAATGAAAATAAGTTGGTAAAAAATCATATGAAATATACATAAATTTGAAAAGACGAGTAAACCAGTATCAAGTTTGTAGGGAGAACAAATCATTCTCTGATAAAAATTAGATATATTGTTTTGAAAATTTTATGAGGATAATAACTATTAGGTTGTTTCAGAAGTTTTATCCGTTAAAAGGTAAGACCTCGTTAGTCCTTAGCCCGCACAAGTTTCTCAACTTCTGAGAGTTGTCGTTCGTATGGGGGCGACAGCTGATTAACGGAAAAACAGTTTTTTTTTAAACTTACTGATCGATAGAGAAGTTTGTACTCTATACATTGATTTTTTTCTGAATGTCAATGTTTTGCCTCTTTTCATCCCATCACTATATGATGTCGTTTGGCCAATTTTTCTCTACTTATACAAATTGAACCAAAGCGCTGCCGAAACAGCCCGAAATTGCGAAATTTCGTTCCGGAAATTTTAGCCTCGTGGATGAGCCCCGAAGTGGTCAACCTAAAGTAATCCATGACGAGGATTTGAGAACCCTGGTGGAGACTGACCTATCACAATGCGGTTTTTGATGGTTATAAATGTACTGGAAAGTTCGAAAAGCTCGAAAAGTGGGTCTCCCATGATTTGTACAAACGACAGAAACTGTCACGTTTCGAAGTATGTTTGCTTTCGCGCAACCAAAACGATCCTTTTTTGATCAGATCGTCATGTGTGATAAAAGTGGATCCTCTATGACAACAGCAGACATTCAGGACAGTAGTTGGTCACACAGGTACTTCCTATAGGCGAAACTCCACCAAAAAAGACCATGGTTGCTTTAGGTGTAATTCACCAGGCTACCAGTCGACTACCATCTTTTCAAACACTTCGACAACTTTCTCACCAGTAGTACCGTCGCCAATCAGGAGCAGGCAAAAATTGTCTTTGTTCTACTTCATCAAATCCCGACCACACAATTTTCATGCTGACGGAAATAATCGACTTGTGTCTCGTTGGCAAAAGTACACTGGTTCACATGGCGCTTATTTCGATTTAATTGGATTAGAATTCAGTGAGATATTACAGTTTATAGTAGACTCATTAAAACGGACAAAACTTCTGAATCAACCTAATATTACATTCAAATCCGTAGAATAGTGAAAAAAAACTTGTAAAATCTAAAAGAGTTATTCACAAAGTTTTGATTGTTAGTATCACGAGTGGTCTATTTTAATAATTTCAGACGATTGAAGTCTGACCTCTAATACCCCACAAGGAGCATTGTCAACAATATTATGTTATTCTCAACCTACATGTTAACTCTCAAGACAGTTCAACTGAACTCACAGATTTACCATATTCGCCTATTCAACGTTTCTCTTGCAAAGGTTTAAAAAACTCTCTTTTTTTTCAGGTAGGTAATGTGTTCCATAGCTACCTTATTGATTTTCCTTCACCTCCTTTGCTCAACATCTGCCTCTCCAGTGGAGAAAAAATCTGACAAAATTAAATATGGTAAGGAACTGTCAAGAAAGAGTACACATGGAGAACTTGCGACTTTCAATACTGCCTTATTTATAGTAAGCTTTGTAATGGCCACCTTCATGAATGTAATTGCTTCTTTCCGAATGTGTTACATATCCGAAAATTGTCAGAAACATTTCAATGATCGTCTGAATAATGAAGTAACAGTTGAAAATATAAGAAGAAAAAGATCTATGGAATACGTAGAACCAATGTTAGTGGCACTAATGAATACGTTGAATACGTTAGTGGAAGAAGAAGTAAGAACTGCTACGGAGAATTTTCAAGAAATCACTTCTCCATCATATGCTGAACCTATGATTGTTACTGTAGCGAAATATTTCGATAAGTATGCTGATAACGAAGTGAAGAGATATGTGAAGGCGATTCTGTATTTTCTTGTGCATATCTTAGAGAAATTGCATGTAATTCTACAAAGTATAGTACGAAATCTAAGTTATTATAGAATCTTGTGAGTTTTTAGCAATATTAAATCTAAATAACGTTCTTTGAAAAAAACTCATTTTTCAAATTTCAGTCCAGATCTCATTTAAAGCTGTAATTATGCTCCAAAGAAAATAACGCTGGCCGCTACTGGTAGCAGTAAACCAATTGTGACGTAGCTAAGAACGCGCGAATGTACGATATTCGCTGCCGCTATATATGTAGCGGGAATGATGCTACCGACCTCGATGGAATTCTGGCGAATTCTCTACCGCATTCGATTAAGATATATAAACGCTAGCCACGAGCATATCGACACAGTCAAGTGGAAGTTACAGTGCGGTACGCGAAGCGACCTAGTAAGGCGATATACATTCGAATAATAGTTCAAGCGTTGTTGTATTTAAAGTGAAATAAAGTTAGGTTTGATTATTGTTCAGTGTAGCCAATTATTGGTCAACCCATGGGAAACAGTAACATTTGGTGTCGGAAGTGGAATAATTGACAGAAATGTTTCTGTTTTATGGTGAAAACAAGGGGTGTCAATTCCGACGGAATGGAAAAGCATGAGAAAATGTTTGAGGCTTTGCAAGCGAGCCTGGCGGAGAATGAAAAACGCCGAAGAGAAGAAGATGAACGCATAAGAGAGCAAGATGAACGAAGGAGAGAGGGAGAACAATTACGCCGAATTGAAGATCGTGAATTACTACTATTCAAAAAAAGAGGAACCAATTCATACCAGTCTCTTTGGTTTTCGATAGGTAGTTATTGATGGTGCGAATATGCCTCTCGACCATTCCAGCGGACTGTGGTGAAAAAGCAGTTGTTCTTGTCTTCTTTATTCCCAACAGAGTCATCATTTTCTTCCATAAATTCGATTAAAAATTGTGGCCCTGATCCGAGTGTAGTTCTTGGGGTACACCGAAGGAATGGTCGATAGGCATAATCGCACCCTCAATAACTACCTTTCGATATTTGTCTCCAAAAACCAAAGAGACTGGGAAAAACTGGTTCCTCTTTTTCTATTGGCATACAGGTTACACAACATCCATGTTGTTAACTGGTAGGGAACTGAAGTTTCCGATAGATGTATTGTGTGGCAGTCCTTTCGATGAATCTCAAGAGGTACATCTTTCAGAGTATGTGAATGATCTGAAGGAGAAAGTGGAAACTGTACACGAAGTTGCCGGAACTAAATTACAGCTTTTCAGCGACATGATCAAGATGAGATTTGACAAAAAGTTGCTGCCAATGAAATTCAAGGAGGGCGATATAGTGTGGCTCTACCAACCCCAACGTCTGAAAGGTTTATGTCCCAAGTTGCAGATACCATGGCAAGGACCTTACTTGGTAACCAAAAAGATGAACGATCTGATGTACAGAATCCGAGTTCCACCCACGGGGAATACGTAACAATATATACAGTGTCACCATTAAAGTGCGCATCATATTGGAAACTTTTTTTTCGAAAAGTTTCAATGAAGTTCAACTTCGGCACTTGTTTGTGCTTTGAATTCAACTTGAAATGAAGTGGCCAACTGCGACCCGCTGACCTTCAGTGTTTGTCAAATTCAACTTTTTTTTTTGAAAAAAATTGAAAAAGTGCATTTCTAGATCGAATTTAACAAAAAGTTTCTTGAAAAAGTTGTGTCTACGGCCATTTTATATCCATATGCCAAATTTTATGCAACTAGGATAAAGTTAAGGTTTTGCTTATTTTTGACAGATATCCCCTTTATTTTAAAAAACAAGTTCGGTTAATTTTAATCAATTCATGTATACATAACAAACTCATCATGGAGTTTAATTTTTCTGATAAATTTTTACTTATACGGACATTTTAAGAGATAAATTGAAAATGTGCTATAAAAATTTTAACATGACTGGTGCAAAGTTTCAATCACAATTTTACATATTGTACAAAAGTAATTGAAAAAGTAATACCTAGGCTCAGGTGTTGAATCCAGACTCCAATTCAATAATTCAACCACAGAAAGTCAAACTCTCTCAATAAGTTATCGAAAGCAAAATGGAGGCGATGGGTTAATAAACTTTGCCTGATGCCTCACAAACTCTGAATCTTTCAAAGTTTGCAACGCTATAATTTCCTAACAAAATATTTATGTGAAGATATTGTGTGAATGATGGAAAAATTATTTCTTGATGGAAAACAATCATCCCCAAATGAAAAAATGGAAACCATAATTTCAAATTTTCCGCATCGTGGAAACACCAGCGCTGGATCGTTACCTTTAAAACGGCTTTTGATCGAAATTTCGTACATTTCATTAGCCTAATCTACCAGAAACCCTTATATTGTCAATATCCTCCATGAAAACTGAACAAAGCAGCTAATCTCGGTTGCGCAGTTGTCTCGAATACCGGCAAAATATCGCGTTCTTCAGAAAGGGAGAAAAACAAATTAATAAAATGTAAACCTATGCCAGGATCGGTAAATAAATATGATTCTATCGATTTCGGAAATGAACAATGAGAATAGGAGCAATAGGTAGGTCAAATGTGAGCTGCAACTGCAATCCTCGAGGGTTTGTTATGGCTCACACCTAATGAAACTGGATCAAATAGATCCAGCTTTGAAGCGGAGCATACCGATTACTTCATTTTGTGAGTGGCATTTCAAGTCAGATGGCAAGAGTGGAATTCTGTCAAACGCTGGAAATCTGATCGGGACAAGCACAGATATGTGCTTTGTTACCGGGGCCTAAATTTCCTTGTGACGAATAGTTTGTCAACTTCGAGGTTGGCAGACTCTAGTACATTTTACCACCTTGTGTAGAACTGACTAGCGGTAAGTCTGCGACGCCCTTCGGAAAGGTAAGTAACACAAATGTGTGACTAAGAAGTAGGTCTCCTGTGACGCATTTCAGGGGGATGCTCACTCAAGCCTACAGGGTAGTAGCTGCACCCATTAGCCAAGAAATTCTCACACGATCCTCTCAGGCAACCTGTGGTCGTCCAGACCGAAATGTGCAGCTCTGTGAACCGTCTTCTGGAATATCCTCTACGGTAGCCATTGTAGCACACTGAAGAGATTCCAGTTGATTGGTTGATATTGATATTGTTGGATATTTAAGGTTCGAATTTCTCACTCTACTGACAGCAACAACCTTTCCATATGAGTCTGACATATTAGATTCATGCTGGGCTGTTTCGCCTCAGGTTCTGGTGAATTATCGTTTGAGCATATACATTTGCTGACCTGCTCAGGAGGAGCTTATTTTCTCTGATGATGCAGATTTCGCTTCTGCTGCCCAAGAATTTGGTTCGAAGCATATTCCTAGGGTATATTGCTCTTCCAGAGGCGATAAGTCGCTTTCGGGATGCACTACCCAGCTTCAAAGATTTGTTACCAGGATCAAGAGTTGGATAACTGAGAAGCTCCTTTTCTTGCCCTTGATCTTATGTTATAGAAAGGGCTGTTGAAATCGTTTTGTCGACAGATATAGTCTCTTCAGACTCGAAATCGGAGTTATTGCTTATTCAATAGTCCTTCAAGAGTTCCAGGAGCAGTTGACGTCTCGTCCTACAAATACGAAGACATCATCGAAGACGATGAAGCATCAGACATATGTGTTTGTCTTAAGATGACATTATGTCCGTTGCCTCATCGTCTTTGATAAAGTCTACTGCAGTTGTAGACGAAACGTTATGTTCTGTTTTAGGGATTTGGGTTGCATAATTCACCCCCACTGCGACATATTTCTCGATAAAGAATGTATATCTCGTTTTCTTGATTGGTGGTTCATGAACAGGATTTTCAAACACACTAACAATCAAACTGTTGCTGAATGGCAAACATAAATAAGTTCAGGAATAAAATTTATTGGAGATGTGACGAAGAAAACATATTGATGACATTAGTTTGTGATTCCTTACTAGGAAATATACGAACGGTTATTAATGAAGTAAACGACAGTGGTGAATGGAAGAAATGTGTCCAGCATGTCATAGAAAAGAAGAATTAATTTGGATTCAATCTATAGGATCTAGATAATGTATCTAAAGTTTTTATTTATTTCTCAGGTGAGTACAAACTGTTTTTCTTGACATTACACTTTACTACTCATAAAAAATCCCAGTGGGTTTATGAAAAATAAAATTGATTTTGAAAAAAACTTATACCACGCCGCCCATGCCACGCAAATAAACTGCCAACGTTTGGTAACTATCTAGTTTTTATGCCATCCGAATTGAATTCGTACACACTATACATTGTAATTTTGCGATTAGCACAAAAAAATCATTTCGTCTTGAAAGTATTAAGTTATAATTTGAAGGCAGCAAATTCCAAAGAGATTCAAATACATCTCGTCATGTCCCTCTGCATTAGTTTGAATAAGAGGGCGACCTTTTATTTTTACGGACGATCCTCAAATGGCTCTATTGAAATGTGGCGTTATAATATTCATAAAGTTCACCTTACATTACCCTAGCATGAAGCGTATGAAGAAGGAACATTTTTCTTCGATGTTTTCATTTCTAGTTATCATTTTTGAGTGAGAACTAGTCAAAAGTCAAAACTAAAACATCATTAATTGAATAGAACAGATCGGTACTTGATAAAAATCCATATTAAAACTCATTAATACAGTTTATTGTATGATTTCCACTAAAGAGGATTTTACAAAATCCGCGACATGTGTTTCGCTATACAATAGCTTCCTGAGGCGTGAAATAATAAGTTGATTCTAAATTACAACTATTTTATACTCTAAACATTGCATCTACTTGTGTGCTACTTTCTAATGAATGAATCTACCTGAGAAGATCAGGTAAAAATGCATTAAATGAGTGGCATATGTGGAGTTTATTTTTCCAATGTGAAAACTATTTCTGTGTTTATTTATGCCGGCTTTGAACGAACAAAGATAAAAGTTAATTTTCAGAAAAATCGGGAGTGTATGAATTATCATGTGGGTCATGTTTTATATGGGTCAAACTGGAAGAACGTTCAAGGCCCGCATAAAGGAACACATAAATAGTTTTCACAATGGAAAAATAAACTCCACATATGCCTCTCATTTAGTCACAGAGTGACATGATTTCAACCATGAATTGAAGCCCCTCCATTCACATAAGAAAGGAGAGAATGGAGGAGAAGATGGAAATAAACAAATTCAAAAACTCTCAGTATCTTATGAACGATTAAACTGAAATGAATAATTCGCCATTATTGAATCTGTTTATTTACAGGTAAGAAAAGTTAGGTATAATAACGGAACTTTTGAAAATTCAATTCATTCATATAGTTGATGGATTTATACCTGACCTTTTCAGGTAGATTCATTCATTGAAAAGTATTCATACAAGTAATTAATATGTGATAGTATAAAATAGTTTGAAATAGTAATTTCGAAGTAACTTATTATTTTACGCTTGAGGAAGCCATTGTATAGCGAAACACGTGTCGCAGTTTTTGCAAAACTTTTTTTAGTGAAAATCATACAATTAACTGTTTTAATGAGTTTCAAAACATCATTGCTTTCAAAAACAAAAAGTGTTGCAAGGCAACACATTACGGTATCAGGTACCCTAATGTTCGATTTACGGCACTCATTTGCGGCTTTAAAGGTTAAGTTTACTGGACACTTTGAAATAAAAGTGTATAGAACGGCTCCTCATCTACATGAGCTAGTTCCAGTATCGTCGATTCAATATAAGGTCAAGCAATGTGACGTGACTACCTAGTGCCTTCAATTTGTTCCTGACTGCGGACGGCAAGTACAGACGGCTTTACAATAAACGGCTCAGGCGAAGCTTTCTGGCTTACAGAAACAGGCTTGTCTGGCTATCTGTGGTGCCATCAGTACCACACCGTCAGCGGCCATGGATATCCTTCTAGATCTACCTCCTCTCCACATTTTTCTGGAAAGAGAGGTTAGATGGACTGCATATAGACTTGTGAACATTGCCAATTGCACAAATCAATGTAATGCAAAGTGCAACAGACTGTTGCTTGATACTGGAAGTCACAGCATTCTGGAAATAACCTCTGACTTTATGCCTTCAACTGTCAACTACAAACTGCCTTATAAAGTACTATTCCCAAATAGAGAGGACTAGATCTTACGAGAGAAGTAATTAATAAGAGCAGATAGTTGTTGGTTCACACATGGATCCAAAACACCTTCAGGTTCTGTTGCAGCTGTTTTCAGTCGCAGACCCAGGACAGAGATATCAACCTGCCAAGGAACTCATAAGACTGCACTTCAAGAGGAAATTCACGCTATTGAATTGTGTGCGGAGAGAATGGAAGAATCCAACCTCATGCCCAAGTCAATGAAAATATTCGCGGGCAGTCAAGCGACGTTGGAAGCTCTTGGCTCCTATCTAGCAACGTCTAAATCGGTAGCAAATTGACAAAAAAGACAGATTGACTCTAGTCTGTATTCCTGGCCATACTGGCCTAAAAGGTAATGGGGCTGGTGACTCCCTTGCAAAAGAGGGTGCTGCAAGCAGCTTTATCGGACCAGAACCTGTCATTGGCATCGCTTTAGGCTTTGGCAAGAAGATTTATGGACTTCTGGCAGAGTCTTCCAGGATTGGCTCACTCCAAGACGTTCATTTATTCTTCGAAGCTTGATACCAAACAGTCATTGGTCTATAGTAGAGATGAACTACAATGTCTAACAGGCCTCCTCACAGGCCACTGTCATTTGAATCATTATATGCAGAGACTTGAACTGTCGGAAGACAGTGTGTGTCGCCACTGTTTGGAAAATAATGACACAGCAGAGCACATACTTTGTGCCTGCCCTGCTGGGGACCGAATCAGGTTTTCAGGATTTGGCAGAGCCGTACTCTCACCATTTGACCTGAAAGACCACTCACCGTGCAAACTAATTGGCTTCGTTAGAAAGCTGGGTTTACTTGGTCGAGTGTGAATAGGTGTGAGCCGCAATAAACTCTTGCGGGTTCCGATGAAGGGTCAAATAGACCCACTCACTTTTGATCTAACCTAACCTAACTTGGTTCGCCCCTAGTGCCTTTGGCCTGTTCCTGACGGCAAGTACAATTAGCTTGTCAATTTTCATGTCGTCTTCGTAGTTAGCATCTGCAATGTACTCCTCAAGAGCCTCGTAACGAGTAGCTACTTTTGAAGATTATTCTCTTGAAAAACTATAATACAGTTTGTATTGAAAATACTTTTCCCACGCCTGAACGAAAATACGTACCCCGACACTGGTTTTGCTAACCATGTTAGTATCATCAGGAGGTAACTCAAATACGTCAGAGTCTCCGAATCTACCTGTCGAAATAAACAGTTTGTTCATAAAACCTTTCTTCGTCTACGTTTTCCAAAAACTAAAACTTTCTTACTAGTCAGTGGGCTATGTTTCAAGACTGTCAGTAAACAAATCTAAAGAAATGAACTTTAAACATTCAAGTCAGTCTCGAATATACCTACACAGTAGGTTGAATGAACTACTACTCCCCTGGCTAATATCTCGAAGGGCGTTGGATTATATCCGACAGGCGTCAGTGCAGGGATCTTCACAGAAAATTTGCTGCACGTGCAATTGGCAATACAACTGAAATAATCGACCTTCAATTTTGGAACGGGCACACTTGCAGACCGGTTTCGGGCTCATTGGCAACTCATCAGTGCAAGATAGTGGCCATCATCGATCTAAAGTCAATGATATTCCAGAATTGAAAATCGGAATTCTTTCAGAGTATTTCATTCCTCTTCCTAAGTTGGAGCGAACATCACAAAATGTCACTCCATCTAGTGGACGAGGTACTAACCAACTACATATCCGAAATTTGCCCGATTCTTCTGAACGAAGAAGAAAAACTTTTTATTAGAGGAATAAAGAAATATAGGAACAGAGGAATCGGGCAAATTTCGGATATGCAGTGGGTTAGTTCCTCGTCCGCTAGATAGAGTGATATTTTGTTGTTCGCTCCAACTTAGGAAGAGGAATGAAATACTCTGTAAGAATTCCGAATTTCAATTAGGGAATATCATTGACTTTAGGTCGATGATGGCCACTATCTTGCACTGATGAGTGGCTAATGAGCCCGAAACCGGTCTGCAAGTGTGCCCGTTCCAAAATTGAAGGTCGACTCTTTCAGTTGTATTGCCAATTGCATATGCAGGACATTTTC